CATATTGGCTGCACCAATTTGAAGTCCCACCAGCAGTGTACGTGTGTACCTTTTCCCCCACATCTTCACCAACACTTGTTGTTGTTTGTCTTCATAATAGCTACCATTCTGACTGGAGTGAGATGATATCTTAGAGTAGTTTTGATTTGCATTTCTCTGATTGCTAGAGATGATGAGCAGTTTTTCATATATTTGTTGATTGATTGTATATCTGTCATTTTTCTTTTCTTTTTTTTTCCAAAGAGAGAGTGGGGGGGAAGAGAGAGAGAATTTTAATATTTATTTTTTAGTTTTTTTGGGTGGACACAACATTTCTGTTTGTATGTGGTGATGAGGATCAAACCCGGGCTGCACGCATGCCAGGCTAGCGCACTACCACTTGAGCCATATCCCCCGCCCTGTCATTTTTCTTTAATGACAATTTTATTGTTGTGGTTCCCCATGAAAGGGGAAAACAAATTCATTCAGAAGGTCCTGCTTAAATCCTCCAACAGAGATGCTTTGACAGAACTCTGGCTTATGCAAATGAGTTTGATCAGAGAAGATGTACTGGACAATGATGAATCAATTGCTGTGAAGTTGCCCCTGGAATTATCCTTAGGAATAATATAAAGCTTTGTCATTATCATTTTACCACAAACATCTGGTGACTTTCCCATTTGTCCTGTGCCTGTGAATTGCTAGATTTTTTTTTTTTTTGCAAATAAACAGAACAGAGCATTTTAAGTAACTCAACCTTAAGTTTTCAATTTTACTACCCTACACTATTTCATTTAAGTTAATGATTATTAATTTCTCACCTTGTAATTGAAATTGAGTATCACTACTTTTTCCCTGCATGCCTGTGGCTTCCACATAAGAACTGAGAATTAGGTTGTATGCTAAGTTCTAAAAGACCTAAACAATATTTTGATTAAGAGGAACTAGTGTAATAATAGTAAATATAAAGTATATAGGCAAAAGGCCTGACATATTTAAACGATCAATAAATGAGGCTATTATAATGTTAACACTAATATTTATAGCCTAAATGGGTCTATATTGATATTGATTGTTTTAAAGTTATATTTTCATTTCTTTTCAATATGTTAAATGTATCTTTTATATAATTATCATCCAAGAGTTTCTTGTAATTTTCAAATTGAGATTTTTTTTTTAACAGCTTATGAACTCTGGTTTAAGCAAATCCTTTGGGAGTTAGATTCTGTTCGAGAGATCTTTCAGAATGGCCATGTAAGTTATGACATGATATTCTTTGGAAAAATGTAGAAATTACTAATGTGAAAAACTTAATATTGAAACCACTTTTTGATGATTTATTTTTTAAAAACACAGTTTAGACAGTATT